GTGTCCAGGTCGTGTCCACAATGGTGGCACCTCGTCGTCGGCTCAGCTCCTATCCGGTGCAGATACTTTCCGAAGCATCCGTGCCCAGTCAGCACCTGCACCAGACGGAAGGTGAGGCGTCCTCGGCCACGATTCACCCAGTCATCAAAGACTGGGTAAACCGCCTCAACGGTCCGTAGACCCCACGTGGGGTTGGCCAACCGCCTCGACCACGATTCGAGCACGGACCGCCGAGAATGGGCCTTCCGCGCCCGCAGCTCACTTTTGGAGGGACGCACCACGCCCAGAGCACGAAGCTCGCTGCGCCACCGATAGTCGGCAGCGAGCGACTCCGCCTCCAGCTCCCATGGCGGCGTCCCCGCCAACACACACGCCGCCTCGAAGGAGACGGTGCGATATCCACGGATGACCCTGATAGCAACGGTGCGCTGCGGCCGGCGCAGGAACCGAGCCATAGCGGCCCGGTTGCGTGGCTCAGCCCATACAGGCGCACCGTACAGGGCCATCGATCGCACCACCCCTGCGTAGAGGCGGCGCACAGCCTGATCCGGCCCCCCGATATTCGGGAGCAGTCGGCTCAAAGAACCGGCTGTCCTCATCAATCGGGGGACCAGCTCCGCAAAGTGAGCACGAAAAGCCCACCGGCTGTCCAACACGAGGCCGAGGTACCTCAACTGCACCCCGACCCCTATTCGGACGCCTCCAACCACGATGTGGGCGTCGACAGGTGGCGCTCTCCGTGGCCCGTGAAACCACAAGGCCTCGGATTTACTGAGCGCCACGTCGAGGCCCAGTCTCCTTATCCTCCCGACAACGAGGGCCACCCCCGCTGTGGCGAGACGGGCAGACTCTCTATAATCATCCCCCCGGGCCACGACCAACGTGTCGTCCGCGTAACAAATAACGCGGAGGCCCGGGAGGAGGGCACCCCTCAGCACCCAGTCGTACCCGATGTTCCACAAGAGGGGTCCGAGAACCGACCCCTGCGGAACACCCCGCACGACCGGAAAACGGTGAAGGGTCCCACCGTACCCGGTACATTCGACCGACCTGGCCTCCAAATAGGAGCCAACCAGCCGGCGGAGGTAGAGGGGCACTCCATGCCTCTCCAGTGCCCCCCCTATCACGGACCAGGGCAGGGTGTTAAATGCGTTGGCGATGTCAAGAGACACCGCCAGCGCCACCCCACCCCGTGAGACAGCCTCGTCCGAGAGGGCCCGCACCCGAAGTATTGCATCCACGGTCGAACGGCCCTCCCGGAAGCCGAACTGCTCCGCCGACAGGTCAGGTCCAACCCCGACCAGGTGCTGAACGATGCGGGCAGCCAGAATACGCTCCAGCAATTTTCCCGCCTCGTCCAGCAGTACGATAGGACGATACCCGGCGGCTGTATCCACCGGGCGCCCCTCCTTCCGCAACAACACAAGTCTGCCCGTCCGCCAGAGCAACGGGAACCGTCCCGACTCCAGGCAACTATTAAATAGCTCCAGGAGCCGGTCCCCTAGGGCATCGAGGGCCAAGGCCAGCACCCGGCCATGGACTCCGTCCGGGCCGGGGGCCGTGTCCTTTGCAGTCATCCTTACAACCGCCACACGGAGCTCTGCCCCAGTAATACGGGGCACCTCAGCAGGGGCTTCACCGTCGATGGCGTCCGACGGCTCACCCATAGCGGGGGGAACAAAACCCTCCCGCTCCTGCGGGAACAACGCCGAAACGATGTCCCGCAGCTGTTGAGGCTGGAGTCGCTCAGTCATAGGGGGGGCCCACGGGCGCAGCTTGCCGCGCACTAACCTGTACGGGCTCCCCCATGGATCCGCTTCGAGCGCCTCCAAGAGTCTCTCCATGTTCTGCTCCTTGGCCCGCCTGATGGCCAGCCGCAGGGCGTCCTTCGCAGCGCGATATTCGCCGTGCAGCCGGGTTTCCTCCTCCGCAAACGCGACGGGGTCGTCGCGCCGCAGGTGGCGGCGACGGCGGTGTCTAGCGCATTGGCGGCTCGCCCGAATGGAGACCGCGCGCAGTCTCGCAATTTCAGGCGACCACCAGGGAGACTGCCGCCGTCCGCAATGCCGAGAGCCGACCCGGGGCATCGAGGCATCGCATATGCGGTGCATCGCGCCGCGGAACCATTCGGCCTCGGCCTCCACGTCGAAAGGGTGTGGGCGCGTGGGCGTCCACGCCGCCACCATAGAGGCCTCCACCAGGAGCTCCTTCTTCAGGAGCTTCAATGCCCACCTAGGGAATGACCGGGATGCACTCCGCGGGGGGTTAACCCCGCGAGCGCCTGCGGCCGGTGTTGGCGTGGGAGCGGAAAGATCGAACCGGATATACCGATGATCTGACAACGATTCCGCCCCCACCACCACGCCCCAGCCGAGGATGCGCTGTGCGATGGACGAGCTCGCGAACGTCAAGTCCACAATAGACTCTCCTGTCCACCGCACGCATGTCGCGACCGAGCCCCTGTTAACGATACAGAGATCGGCCGCGACCGCCCACTCCTCCAACAGCCTACCACGAGCGTCCGTAGATGGGGAACCCCAAGCGACAGACTTCGCATTGAAGTCCCCCGCCAGTATCACGGAACGAGGAGAGAGGTGACGAGCGATCACCTCTAGCCCGTCCAGGAACCGCTCGAACTCGACGGTAGGCCGATTCGGAGAGAAGTACACCCCGATCACGACGGTATTTTCTAACTGTACCGCGACGATCCCGGGGCCCCTGGTCACCATCGCCAGGGGGGGAATCATCGCGGATCTTCTTATATGTATGGCCGCCAAGCCATCAGCGTCCCCAAACCAGCAGTCGTCTGCTGGGGGAACGAAGTACGGCTCGGCGACCACAGCCACGTCAATTGACCACTCCGCCATAGTCTGGAGCAGCATGTCCTGAGCCCCGGCGGAGTGGTTCAAGTTTCCTTGGAGGAAGCGATAGGTGCGATCCATTAAGACTGGACCACATCCATCGCCCCCTCCCTTACTCCATTGTCCCCGCTATCGGGCGCGAACGCCTCAGCGGGGGCTAAAGTGCCGGCCGGTGCTCCCCCGGCCAACGGCTTCTTTTGGCGCC